AACGACGCCCGTCGTCATCGCGCCGTAAGACCACTGTGAGCAGAGCGACGCGAAACTGACACAGTCACGGACACCAACCCTCCCTCCCCTCGGGGTTCTACTACAATACTATTCGTTCGTCGCACTCACAGTCTGGTGATTAACTCCTGTACGAGTTTGAGGGCTCAGACTAATAAACCTATCGTCCCAGTGATCGTGTCTTCGCTTTCTTTTAATAAATTGAATCAGTTAACAGACGGTACAGTTCTTTAGCTACAAGGATGACTCCTTCCAATAGCTCTGTAAGGCGACAGCAAAGCCTGCTTGAGAGAACCACAAGAAATAGTGGAGCGGGGTAATACCAACTAAGGAGCAGGTCTCAAGACTCACCGAAAGCAGAGAAATCTCTTAAGTCAATGGCCGTTACCCTGCGTTAAGCGACTCTTCACGAGCCAAACCGCGACATTTTGGCAAACAATTAAGACGGGGTAGAGCGCCGGCTCGACACGGGAACAGGAATCCCCATACTGCAGATATCCCATTGAGGGGGGGGGTTGCCTATTTCCGTGCCCCAACTTTAACTCTTATCCCCCTTGGGATTTAGAATAAAACCAGCCTTAATGTGGTCGGTCCATATTTCCGTCCCCTACCCGAACATCCTTAATTTAGATGACTGAACTGATTACTGTCTCTGCATTTTTCTTAGGAACGGATTTTCATCATTCCCCCCCCCTCCCCGGTTGTGGGATGCCGTATGACCAGCCGCCGCGGAAAGAACCAGCACAGTCCTAAAGTCATGCAACGGCATGGCACATCGAGAATTGTGTTCAGGTTCCATGATGCGGATGAACAAGCAGAGGACGATATTACATCTGACGATTGAGACCCTGCCGTTGTTGCCTTTATCTTCAGGAAATAAAACAAATAACAGAATTTTACACAGTGATTTTACCGACATCGAACGAGATATGTAAGTCACTTTTAGATCTCACGTGACTTGAAAACGCACATATCGCAAAATAGGGGCCCCAATACTCTGTGCTCGTAGCTGAACACCGATACGCAAGCCAAATGCCTCGAGTACAACACATTCCCTATACCCGCGGCAGGAAGTTCTATCAATTGGCTACGCTGCAGCGGCAGTATCCTTCCTTGTGAGCCCCCTGTAGTGGACAGTGGAGCATGGTAATTCGCTGAGAATTGCTGTTTAAAGTCTATTACGAGCCCAGCATTGTCAGAGTTCTCTTTTGTAAAAAGGACCCTCGCGACCGTCCGATACTCGATCTAGCGTCCAAAGAGATGGTATTCTAATACCAACATTAACTATTAGTTATTTATCATTTTTTCTAAGATGATCTGGGCTTTTTAACGGTCTGACCTACGTCAGAACTTCGGATGGCCGCTATTGGCGGCTAACATCCAGCTATGAGGAAATGCATAATCTAGTGTGAGATGAAGAATCTTCCTAAAGCACATGAACTATACATATACGTCGCAAAAATCAAACGTACCATCCATTACTAGAGACCGTCAGCTTAAAGAGGTAGACAGACAACGCTGAACGGTGGAGTGCTAGGCAGCCACTGGGTACGCAACCACGGCGGCCTTTTCCTCCGGCAGGCTTACGCAGCACAGTCTTCTCATTACCAACACCTTTTGTCTCCCGATGCGAGCGGTGACGTAAGTGCACCTACGCCCGCGTCACTGGTAGCTATTGGACTACGCTCCCGTTCGGAGCGTGATGTGCTGGTTATCAGGGCGATGTGTGATGCCGACTTCCGGGAGGACCACCGCCTTGTGGTTTGTAAGATGAGGCTTCAACTACAACCCCATAGGCAATCACGAAGCAGGCGAACGCCAGGCAAGCTAAGTGCTGTATTACTGGATACGGCTAAGCAGTTGCATGAAGTCTAGTCTGGAATACGTGCGATTCCTGGAGGGGTAAGCCAGTTTCGAGTCCTGCGGGATGCCACCGACGTGGTTGCGCACGTCCACAGCAACCGGACGGATTCTACGACAGTGACGGAGGAACTCGCAATTCGCCTTCCGAGGATCATAGGCTACACATGACCTACGCCATCAACACTAGCAACGCCGAAAGGACTGCATACTTTCGATGATGACTCACAATGGGACAAAAGTTGAGACACGGAACGACTGGCTGACTTGTATAGTCTAGGAAATCCAGTGGCATGCAGGCCGCGGCGAGATGAAATCTTCAGAGGGAAGCAAAGCAGTCCAAGGTTTAAAGGCCAAGGAAACTGCGCCGTTACTCAGTCGGGAGAAGCAACCCTACTGAGAGGTCACTGCTCTGGGACGTGCATATCCTAGGTGTCCTCAACCACCCGTCCAGTCTGCGGAGAGACGGTAAGCTGACTTCCTCAAGCGGACAGTAATGACAAACTCGTTCGTCCACCACCGCTCCCAGAAACAACCGGAGCATTGCAACGCCTACTAGTGGAAAAACACGAAAAGACGAAGACATTCCCGTGGAAATTTGCGAACACGCAGGCCCACAATCTATGCGTAGACTTACTTTTTCCGGAGGCTTCTCTGCGACGACGCATCCCCGAGACGTCATTGCGCTCACATGTGGACACAAGGAGATGCGGCACCTACGTGAAAACCATCAGCGCATCATCCTCCCTAATGCTGCAGGTTCAGCATTCACCCGCATTCTATTCCACCGCCTGAACGGGCATAGACAGCGGCAGTTTCATCCAGAAGCGTAGCTCGTACAGCCCAAAGCATCATGGAATCGTGGCCAGAGGCGGAGGTATCAGAAAGTACAGATCAGTCCCTACACAACCTTCGCGCATCTGCCGAAGGCCCTCGGCAGGGTTAATTGTAAAGAATTCCGAAGGATCGTGCATAGAGCAATTTGTCCAACGGCAAGATAACAACACGACGGGACGATAGACCGCATCATGGGCAATAAAGCGGCCTCCAAAGCATTCCCAGTGATGCGTGAATAAAGCAACTCTGCGCTCTCACCCTACCCTACCCATCTTCATGCTCTCGACTATGCGGCCGGGAAGCAAAAGCGCCTACTAAGTCGACGGACAACCGCCCAACACCCATCGCGTGCATGCATCTTCGAGTTTCCAAGGCCAGCATCTATAACCTCTTACTCACGAATGACCGCGAAATCGCCATAACAGAAGACGTACATAAGGGACGGACCTCCTCGTCTCCGCCTGTTCAAACTTCGGCCTAACCATAAACACGAAGGAAACAGCGGTCATGCGCCAACTGTTGCCCACAGCGGACTCGTTCCACGGCAGTCGAAAAATTCGTACGCTGCAGTGACATCAAGATCAGTGACGAAATTATACGTTGGGACGACTGGTTACTTCCGGAATTATAGGTTACCCGTTGGCTTAGCTGCTGGCAACTAAGCGTGTCCACATGTGGCGAAAGTGGAACTGCCTTCGGGGACCGTTCGCTGTGAAATAAGCAGAGCAGCTGTTGGGAACAAGATCCTTTGTGTGAAAACCCGATGTTGTACTGGGGACCACGTCGTGTGTGGCACACGCAGGCGGGCTGTCTAGCTCTGTCAGTGACTGCGTCCAATCTCGGCGCCATTTGATAGACCGGCTCGGATAATCGACTGGCGGACGGGAGAGGGAAGAGAGACCGATTTTGGAGACTCTCTCCACGACATTCCAGTACACTCCTGACCACGACAGATCTGGCGCGCCTGAATACACTACGGTGCTTTAGAAGTCATGGCTTGGAAGGTTGACAACTGACTATCCTACTCAGATCTCGCAGTCAGCCAGTGTGCGGAGTGGCCGGTTGGTGCGATGAGAGTCAGGCTGCAATAGCTCCTTAGTGCGGTCTCTACGGCACGCACACGAGAGATCCAGGTCGCCCACGCGCGGTCGAGCTGTCTAGCCCTGTCAGCTACTGTGCCTACTGCCCGCGTCAGTTGACTAAGCGGATCGGACGGTGCACTGGTATCCGCGAGACGGCGAGGCCGACTCTCAGCACATATTCCACATCTTAAACAATCCAACAAGCCTGGATCTATCACGGCACAGTAAAAGCCGTGGACTGGAAGGATATCAACTGACAAGATAACCCCGTCCTCCCTCCAGGATGGTGAGTTGGGCAACAATGGCCCCTTATTAATGTGGACTCTACGGCACTCCGACTCGGTTTGGGTCCGAGACGCCTCCCTCGTGTGAAAACTTGGTCCGATATGCGCAGACCGGGCGCGTGGACAAGCTGTTTAGCTCTGTCATCCACTAAGTCCGACCTCCCCTCGAGTCTTCCTAATACTAATCGGTCAGTCAATAAAAGATAGCCAGCACTAACGATAACGGCATGTAGTCTGATGTAAGCGGTTTAAACATGGCTTTACCGAAGTCAGGGCAGGTAATTAGGGGGGAAGTTCTAACCTTGAGATTTCTGACACTTTGAGAATGGTTGTTTCAGGAAGGGACTAGCCGGGACCAGCGACAAGCCTGAAACCAAAATCCCTCGCTACTGACTAAAGGTTTTTGCAAATTGGTAAAAGAGCTGACTAACTCCAACACGTACAGCATCGCTAGCCGCGGGGTATTCAATACGAACTGAAGATATGCAACACAGGTGGGTTTCTCATTTGTTTGGTAATTGGGTGAACACTAGCCCATATGGTGGCAATGACCTCATACTAGTGACAAAAAATTGCCAAAAGTATCACAATTGGATGGTCCACGGACTTTTGCGATAGGTTCCAACACAGAGTTCACGCAAATCCCCGTGTCCACCATCCATGGGAACGCCGGTTGGGTCTGAGATAGGCTAACGGTCAAGTCCCAGTTTATTTTACCTACAGAGCGAATGCAGTTTCTTGATCTCTAATAATCGAACCCTTACACGGCTTCCGGTGGGGGTGCATTCCCGTATACGTAGCAGGAATAGCAAGGGATCTATTATGGAAGTGAAGATCTCCCATCGAAAGCAAGCAGGAGCAACGAGGCCGCACTTAGACAATTAGTTATGTACAATGAGTTCAGATCGTGATCATGAATCTATAGGTTCGGATTACGGAAGATGCCCGCTTGTTCCTTAATCTTCCTTTCGTACTCCTTTCGATTTTGGATATACATAGTGTACGCCTCTGCTTGAGCTGGATCCTTCGGATTAGGGTGATCTAGTAGGTCCTGTATGCCTAAAAGAATCTGACAGACAAGTAAACATATGGGCAGAGACAGACCTGTTTGATTGTAACTGCAGGTCTCCAGTGTTTTTCCTCGTCCAAGAGCGACAAACAGACAGTTCCCGAAGGAAACACGTTTGGGTGGAACAACGGTGGCTCGAATTTGCATTTCGGAGGTGTGGTAGGATACTCTGGTTTGAAATACATGCGTAAATGAAACAAGCCGCCCTCCCATAAAGTCTACAAAATCGTGAGAGACAATTTGCATACCCCCTTCTTCCCAGGAATGCTGCAGTCCCAAACCATCAGGTCCAAAGTTCCATCAGCATTCTTGGTCGGTTTTGCAACGAAACCCTTCGGAATATTAAAGAAAACTGATTCTTACGAATGGGTGGTCCTTCCGCCAGGCCTTTCGTTCCTCAGCCAAACGCTTCAGAGATATCCCATCGGCCTCGTTATAATCGCCCATCTCGGAACTTTAAAGCAATTAAAGGTGCTGCCTTTCCCGCTCGGACTCCTCAAGTCGCACAAGCTACTCAAGGCCATGAGGTTTATTCAGTTCCCAGAATCTTTCCACGCCTTTCTGGTTACCGTTTTAGCTATAATCGCAGCAGGCAAAAAAGAGGATTCTCAGTTGAGACTTCCGGACGACCATTTGCGTCTTATTTTTCGTTCTGCTGCTTTTCATGAACTAGTCATTTTCTATCTAACATAATGACCATGGACTAGTGTTCTTAGGTCCTTTCTTTGCTTTTATGTTTCCGTCGCTAATCTACTTATTTTCAATGCGTGTTTCACCGTCCACAGATTAATCCTCTCTATTGTACCTCTTCAAGCTTTTGAGCTTCGTTCCGCTTGTTCCGGACCCCAAAAATGTCCTTCCATGATATGGGCCAAATTCCCTCATGCCTATTTGAGTGATCCACTTAAAAGGTTTTCCCACTATTCCCAAACCTAAAAGCTTCAAAGTGAACTTGTAAGGTCATAATATTCTTTCTCGGGCGTTCACAAGTGTACATGATTGGGGTATTAGTTTAAGCCACTTTTCGCAGTCATCGACTAAAGTTCCAGGTCAGTTTAGTGTATTAGGGAATGATAAGTATGCGCCTCCTGCCTCCACATGTTTCCGTATATATACGGACTGGAAGTGCATAGAAGTCATATCTCCCACAGAAAATAGACAGTTTCACATAAGATTGCGTGTGCATTGCATGCGTGGCGTGACGCACGGCCTAACCTTCTTCATCAATACGCCAGTGCCGTCCTGAGGGATGGGGAAATATTCACGGTAAAAAAAGATTTCCGATAAGCCAATGCGGATCCAGATCGTGGCCTAAAACATCCCCAAGACCCCCGAAAGTTATTTCGGAAAAGGAAGCCCAAGCAGCGCTTCTGTTAAAAGGCAGAACGACCTTACGGTGCTTGCACAAGAAGTGTTTTCTCAACCAGACTACGAACCGAGGGAAAGACTGAAAATAAGAGAACAGCGATCGAAAGTGAAGGAGAGAAAGGGTTGAGGATAAAATAGGTACAAACAGTGCAGACCAAGGAGCCCTTCCTGTGCTTAAAACTTGTCAAAATGAAGGCCTGGCCTCCCCAACGAAACAATAACTGAAGGCTATCTCCGCAAATGTACAAAGCTACTTCAAAAAACTAGACGAACTGAGAGACGTAGTCAAAAAAATTAAGCCAGACATTATAGGATTCACCGAAACGTGGCTTAATGAAGCTATCGCAGATTCGGAAATATCGCAAAGAGCATATCAACTATCCAGTAGAGATAGACAAAGCCGAGGAGGAGGAGGAGGAGGAGGAGGAGGAGGAGTCATTTAAGTCACTTGCATGCTCAACGCTATGCTTGACGTATATAATCTGGTAAGGGATGTGGAACTGTTAAACATAACCGTATCTTCTAAGAATTTACGAACACTGACGCATTCGAAGGTGTGCCGCTCAACTAACTAGACTTCTGACCAAAATCGCACACTCATAATTGAAATGTGCAAAGAAAGTGAAACAACGATGTCCTTATCATTGGGAAAATCCATGCGCCTGGCATTAATTAACAAAAGTCGACTGAGCAGAAGCGGGCAAAAAATATTAATCACAAGGTCCTAAAATGCGCAGCAGACAGAATTATCTGCAAGAACGTTGCCCTCGAAACGCGGGTTGAGTGAAAACAACAGTCGAACTACCTTCATCTTATTTTTACCCGAGAGGACGAAAATGTGTTAGACCTGCAGCACCGGCCGTCATTAGTGTCAAGCGACCACATCACGCTCTACTTCGAGTACTCACTGTTTTCCAAACTCGTTCTGCCCGATGGGTGGGAGAAAAAGGCTTGGAAGGGAGACTATTCCCTCACGCGGAGAGATGCGACAGAGGTACATTGGAAGACTGAACTGCATGGTCGGGCAAACGACAATTGGAATACTTTGCGTTCCTTACCGAAACAGATTGTTTATTCCAATTGTCCTCTCGGAGAAAAAAACAATTACAAACCGCCCAAAATGGATAAACTCGAACTAACAGGCCTCTTTCAAAAAAGAAATCGCCTTTGGAGGCATAGCAAACTAACGGGCTCCCAAGAGCACTTACGTGAATATAAGCAGCAACACAGCATTTGTAAAAGTGAGGCTTCCAAGCTGCGAAGTCATTTCCGACTGAACATACTGCAACACTCGTTGGAATACCCCAAAATTCTTTATGGCCATATGCGGGTTGCTAAAGGAACTCAGAAACTGATCACTGATTTTAGGAACGCAGACAGAAACCTGAAGACTGACCACCAGGTTAAGGCGTCCTCCCTTTCTAACTTCATTCAGTACGTCCTCATCGGAGAACCTAGTTCTACATTCGCCCATCCATCCGTTCGCCAATCGACGTCTCCTTCTACTCCCCTCCAACCTCTCACACCCTCCCTAATCGAGGAACCACTCTTTTCATCGGCCATAAATAGGGTCGAATTAATCCGACTGCAGCCGGTCAAACCGCCTAGGCCGGATCGAATTCGTGCATTAGTAGTTCGTAAGCTTGTTTATGAATTTTACGACATTACTTCAGAAGTCATTTGACGAAGACGAGCTCCGCGAAGAATGGAAGGGATTACTCATCATCCCGATCCGTAAAGTAGGTTCACGACTTGACTGCGAAAATTACCGTCCCGTCAGTCTTACTTGCATCGAATGTAAAATAATGGAACGCATTATCGAAAAACAGTTGATGAGATGTCTGGAAAAAAACAAACAATTGTGTGATGTCCAACGTAGCTTTAGTCCAGGAGATTTTTGCCCTACAGGTGTTCTTTACTCGCACGAGAAATAAGGGTTATCCAGCGGATGTCACATTTTTTGACTTCAAGAAGGCTTTCCTGAAACATGGAGACGTCAATTATCATTCCCGTCTTCAAGTCAGGATCTCGGTCCGATGTTAATAACTATCGGGGCGTGCACAAAACGCCGTCTCTATCAAAGGATTTTTCAATGAAATTCTTAACTTCTGTCTAGCTAATCGGCTTCTGAGCTCTAGTCAGCATAGATTTTTACCTGAAAGATCCTGCGAAACATGCCACTTGCCTTTTCTTAATCTAATCACTTCTCTTCGTAATGAGCGGCAGTCAGTGGTAGTTATTTACTTTGATCTTAGCAAGGCCTTTGACAAGGTGCCCCATAGACGTCTTTTAGTAAAATTGGAAGCTCTCGGCATCCGGCCGCCTCTACTCGACTTCATCAGGTCCTATCTGTCCAACCGATATCAGAAAGTCATGGTCGGTAATAGCTTCTCGACACCCCACTCGATCACGAGTGGCGTACTTCAAGGCACGGTCCTGGGTCCGCTACTCTTCCTTCTGTACATAAATGATATTTCGACTGAACTCGCAAATTCGCAAACTTTTACTTATGCCGATGACCTCAAGTGTGTTTACTCATACTCTAAGGACACCGCAAATGTTTGTGTTGAAAAAACTAATGCCGATTTACTACGCTTAAGCAGATGGGTTTCGACATGGCAGATGGAGTTTTCATCATCCAAGTGTAGTTTCATGTCTCTTGGTCATACCAAACTTCCTGGTCCCATAATTTTTCAGAATAACCCACTCTCAGAATGCCTCACCATAAAGGACCTAGGTCTAAGTTATACAAATAAGCTTGCTTTATCACCTCATGCAGATAGAATCTCCGCCAAAGCCGCGCAGATATGTGGAGTCATATAGCAAAATTTTTTCCTTCCGGAAACGAAGCTAAGACTTTATCAAATGTTTGTTCTTCCAGTCCTCGAATATTGCTGTCCTTTCTTCGGTTTAATGAACGCCTGCGACCGTAATAAAATCGAAAATGTTCAGAGGGTTTTCACCCGGAAACTGTTCTCTCAAGCTTCGTCCAGTCTTTCTTATACTCAGAGATGTCAGCTGGCGAACATTAAGTTTTTGTGGGTTAGAAGACTCGAAGCTGGCCTTTGCTTCCTTTTTCGCATCAACTCTAGCTCCAGTCTTCGGCTCATTGACACTCTCACTCCGAGAGATCGGTCTCATGCCACGCGCAACTCCTGCATGGTGATTCCGCCGCCTCTTTGTACTACATCTAAGCGCTCCCTCTTCTTTGCTTCTAAATATGCCTTCCTTTGGAAAATCTTCAGCCTGAAATTAGATTATCGCCTAAGTTACTGGTATTCAAGTCGAAATTACGCAAACATCTTACACCGGAAAGCATAAAGGCACTGTTAACGGTCTCATTCCCCAACATTCAGATCCTTGACTTCGAGAAGGGTCCTCCTGGGATTTAGTGGTAACTCTTAATTATATCATTAGAAACCCCTGTTTTGAATTGGTTTCTAAATCCATCGCTATCCTTCCCCCCATAGCGACAATTTTCGCGGTTTTTGATGTCACCTCCCGCATTCCGACCTCATGCGGTCTGTCGGCGCTCACGGCGGAACCCTCAGTATTCACTGTCTACTAGTAGTTCGGTCGTACCTCCCTTCCTCACTGCTCGGCTGAGCTCGAAGCGTGCTGTGGCCGATCGCATCTCGGTTCCTCTCGTCTGGCCTCTTTGTCGCGGCGTACCAATCAGGCCCAGACGATCTTAATTGTGAATCCCGTATACAATGCCATTTGCAAGCCAGTCCTGTCTGACCCATATTCGTACCCATCAAGGCTGACATTTATTGATACCCTGACGATGACCGACAACATTCCTTTATATACCGCC